ATTAATTTAGACATTTCTAAATACTAGCAAATTTCAATGAGAGGTGATCTTATTAATATATAAATAATTTTGATAAAAAACAATTATTTAGAGTCAATCCTCTATAATTTCTTCTTAATTCTCAGCCAATGTATTTTTTTTTTTATTTAAGAAATATAAAACATACAAAGCCGAAAAATTTATGAACCAGTTAATGTAATCTTTTTACCATTAAATATTTCTACCCATTGTTGCACCTGGAATTGTATTTAAACCAAGGTAACAGGCGAACAATACAATATCCCGGAGGCCTTCCCAATGGAATAACGATTTATTACGATACAATTGTGTAGTGGGATATCACAAGCGGAGTCTATATGAGGGCAAGTGGAAGGTTTGAAAGTGTAATGTAGTATTTTTATTACAAGCCGATTGAACATATCTTTCTTTAATTAAATTTTAAGTATATATATACTAAATAATATACTACGCATTTATAATAGTAAAATACAAATAAAATAAACTATAATAAAATAACAGAAATAATCAAACGCCGAAAAAAAAAACTTCCTCTTCATATTTGATAGATAAAGTTGTTATGATTCTATGACAATCGTCGCAGTACGACGTAAATTTTTCGAGGTTCACCGTGAAAGAACATTAGATAGTATTTTGCAGGTTTATTTCATTAATCAGAACTAACAAAATCATTTATTTATATAATAAACATCATGAAAATTCAAGGTTCAATTTATTTTCACTCAAACATTTCCAAAATCTCATTATTTCAAGCTCTCGTAATGAAGTGTATCTCACTTTCCTCATCTTCAAACCGAATGTATTATAGTAGTATCACCGGAAATTCTCATAATGTCATTTTGTTTTCGCTTTTGATACCATTTATAACCAAGTAATCCAATTGTCATAAAAATTGCTGTACTAAAAATTCCGCTTATTGTACCAATTACAACTTTCTTTGTACTTAATTGATCATTAGAAGTTTTTGGAGAAGCCGAAATTGTGGTGTTCGTTGGTAAACTTGTATTTGAAGATTTACTTTCAAGTTCAAATTTATTAACCCAAGTATAATTTCTAATATCCAACAAATAAATTTTATTCGAGAAAGTACGTTTTACTACTCCATTTGGATTAGTAAGACAACCTGTATATTTTCAATAAATTATTTATTAGATTATGTCAAATAAAACACTAAATACTACGCATAAAGCAAACTTACCAAAAGCAACAATCATATAATTTTTAACTAGATGAGCTGTATGAAAAGAAAGTGATGGAAATTCATCAATATTTGACGATATTTGCGGTACGGTCCATTCAAATGGAGACGTTTGAGTATTCAAAACAGCCAGATGTGGCATGGCCTTAATAGATTTAACGTCGTCATCTTCTTTAATCCCACCGGTCATAATTATTTTTCCATCTTGAACTATAACAGAATGTTATTATATGTCAAATCAATGTACATATGATAATAAGCCATACCTACCTAATACGGCTGAATGTCCATAACGGGATTCAATTTGATCAATACTTTTACTTATTGCTTGCTTAAATGAACAATAAATTTTAAATTTTAATTGATTTATTTTAAGCAAATTAATTAACTTAAATCTACTTACCATCACTGACCACATGTCATGTTTTGTATCATAAAGGTTAATTTGGTTAATATCTACTGCGCTCCCAATAATATCATAATCAGGTACTTCCCATCCCGCAATATAGACAATCATACCATTTGGCAAAATTGTTGCAGTATATAAATATCGTTTTAAAGGAGAATTAACAATAGAACCATATGACAACGTTAAATCATTAGTATTTAATATTATGATATCATTAAAATATTGAGAAGTTGTTGATCCAGTTTTCCTATCAACAAGTCCACCAAAAACATAAATTTTTCCAGTATCATCAGTGACAGCTTGCATATCTCTTCGCCTCACTGATTGGGTTCCTGGAATTGCAGGTACATTCCATTTCCCGGAATTCGGATTGAAGGCATGTACTAGTGAGGTAAAGGAATCTTCACGAAATTGATTTGTATTTATTCCTCCAATAAGGTATATTGTCGGGTTATTATTAGTACCATTTAATGCTGCAGCAGTCGACCAACCACATCTAAATCCTATTCCTGAATCTAATGAAAGGTCGGTCCATGGCGGAAGTGACGTACCAAATTGTTGAGACACATCAAGATAAAATACTTCATTTGTATAAGTTATTCCATTATAACCACCAAAAAAATATATCTTATTTCCAATTAGAACAGATGAATGAACATAACGTTCTACCGGGGTAAATGAATCAACTCTAAGGAACAAATAAATTATTATGAAAATGAAGCATAGCTTAAGCAATTTATTATATTTTTCGCAAACCATAATTCAAATTAGTAAAGTAATAATATTTTTTTTTAAAATTTAAATTCATTATAATCCCTTATTTATTTTAAATTTGAACTTGCACTGCATTTCATTTTGTTGCGCTGCCGATAAATTTTTTTTTTTTATGGTACACGGCCCAAACGATGTTAATGTTAAATTTCCATAATGAGCAAAGTTTGTAATTAGTGTAACTTCGTCAACTTGATCACTACTTTTTTTTTTGTTGTTGAAATATACACAAAGAATAATAAATGCCCCTCAAAACTTATGCACGATAGTTACATATCCAAATTCTAGAAAGAAAATGATGAGTTATTTAACGGTGTTGACCGGATAACGTTAAAGAAAATATGTAACACAACTTAATTAAGTTTGTCGAATTAAATTTAATACTTTTATCACAATCATGCTACATAGGAAAAATTACGTTAATTAAATTCAATGTAAATACAATAATATTTTAATGTTAAATTAACATAGGGTTTTGAAAATTGTAATATTAATTTAATGCTAAATTGCAAAAATGCTAAATTAATATTAAAAAAAAATAATAAATTATTATTTAATTAAAATTAATTTTATAATATATTAAATCAAATTAAGTATTAATTTAACATAGGGTATATATTTCTGATGTATGCGAAGACACAGCAAAAGAATATAACAAATGAATTGTAGGATATCCTCTATGTAACTCTCGGTTTTTTCTCAACTCGAGGAAAATTCAGGATAATTATATAAATAAATTATTAATAATATATAATAAATATGTCCGATAAAACATGATAATAATAAGATAAATAAGATAATATATTTATTATTACAATAAATACATTAACAAATAATATATTTATTAATTGAAATTTTTGTCGATTTTTTCAGCAATATACGAATGGTATGACCAAATGAAGAAAAATCACCCAATGTAATATTTCATGAAAAAAAATTAAGACGATAAAACTTAATTTCAAATGAAGAAATTTTTTTCAAAAAGTGCTATTTACAGCGAATCATTTCGACGATTTATAAACGGAATCCAAATCAACTTATATATACATAACAATATACAGAATGTAAGTTTATCGGTTACTTTATATGTAAATTCAATAATTAATTTATTGATTCAATAATATACATTACTGTATACGTCTTATGTGAGCACCGGACATTTTTCATATAGGTTATGATAACAAAATTTCGTTCACTTAATATTTATGTGATACATAATTTTCGTTTACTTCATAACAAAAAATATTTAATTATAAATGTTTATTAAGTTTAAAATATAAGAGTTTATAAATTATAATATACAGTAGTAGGTAATGTAATGCTTTCGATGACATGAAAAATAAAATAAATACAATCATTGGAAGGAGATCTACAATTTAGGCTTCTTTATAATTGACTATTAATTGTAGAAAATTGATTTTCTGAATAATTTATAAAAGTAAAAGTATAAAGAAAAATTATTAAAATTATTAAATCATTTTCGTCTAAATTAAATTTGTGATTAAAAGGGAATCAACATCGCAACAATAAAATAATTAAACGCCTCATAAATAATTAGAAAATATCGTACTATTTATTCTTGCTTGGATATGTGAAATGGTTTTGAAATGTGAAATAATTAAAAAGTGATCGAATAATATATAAAAATGTCCGGTGCTCACATTATCAGTCATGGTTGATTTACACATACAGGATGCTATTATATCATGTGACCGAAGGTCACATGATAGAGTGGGATCCAAGTATAATTAATTATCATCCATAACATGACCGATAACAATAACTTATTGATCAATGTAATAATAACATTAATAAAATTTTAATAGTTCTCCATTCCAATGAAAAAATATACAAGTAAAGTTATTATCAACCAGAAATATTTGTTGGACGACTTACTTTGAGGTTATAATATGGATTACGAAGTGGATTTTGGGTAGGATAGTATCTTTATTGAAATAAAGAGAATACATTCAAATTGACTATTAGGCCGAGTATTTAGATTCTCGTTACTGGCCATGTCTGATTTTCAAACATTTTCAATCTTTATCTTAATTAAAATAAGCTTTTTGTGTTTTATTTCAAAAATCAATTTTGAAACTATTTTTTTTTTTTTTTTTTTTGAGTTGTCATCATATTTAAAACAAGATTAATGAATAACATTTGTTTACCTTCATATTTAATTTTACATTAATCTGAGTTCCCGTGAAATTATAAAATTTTTATATTACGGAGTCTAAATGTATTTATGTTCGGTCTTACCGCCTGCTCCTTACCTCAATTCATCAAATATGAGGCCGTATGCCGAAAATGCATTAAATAATCATCAATACGTTGGAGTTGAAGCTTTATTAATTCAAGTTACGAGACAATAATTAATCATTTGATCCCAAATAATAAAACCCCAATATAATTTCTTTCACAGCAAAAGTATTGTCAATTTGTAAATATGTGACACGATAAATTTACAACTAACGAAATAACTTAAGTCGTGGTTTTGTCCCATGATCCACTCCATTACAGTGCTTAATTTAATATTTCCTTTATAAATAAACCGTTACTTTGTTGTATACCAAAAGTAGAATAATTGGTAATAAATAATAAATCGAGAATCTTGTCAAAAGGAAAGCGATGTTGCTTTTCATTTTAATTATTGTTACACAAAAAATGTTGATAATGTTACAATGGCTAGGCCTAAGGGAGCTGTATCATGTGACCAAATTACACACAGCTTCAAAATTTCTAAAATCTTGATGTAATTTCTGGCCCTTCCCTTGAGCGATTCCGAAATTAAGCTGTATTAACATGCAGGTCTCTCTAATCAATCAATTAAGTCAAAAGGTATTAACACCCTCCTTCGATCAAGGCTTTCAGGCAAAAAGTTTACCACACTAAAATGGTTAGGTTATTTCCCACAAAAGCAAAGCTTCAAGGGAATTGACATAAAAGGCCGATTTGCCGTAACGAATTTGGAAAGCGAATAGATCGTCAACCAATGACCCAATTTTGATGAGGATTGAACGTGTGGATTCGGCAGGTTCTGGACATTTACCAAACCATATTTCGTGAAATTCCAATCACAGGATGCGTAGTTATTCAGAAATTCGTAAAGCTAATTATTTTGGATATAACCACGAAAGAGGCAACATTACCAAAGTGGCGTGAGAAATGATGATGACCTAGCAACCTACAAAATACTAGTTTCTGGTTCTACTAACCTAAAGGAGGTGAGAAATTGATAGGTTGTGATATAAGAATTCATAGCTACCCAGTGAGTCCCATAATGTATTATTAGCAATATATAAGAATTGAAACTTCAACCGTCTACGAAACGTGATCCAGAAGTCATAGAAACCCCAAATCAATTCGACCAGATGCAGGGCACTGAGAGCTTCAAAACAAGTCCAGGTATGAAGTATTCGAATCACAGGAACCCGAAATAGCCTTGATAGTTGGGAAGTTTTACTGTGCCACATCATGGGTTAGAAGTTAATCATCAAATCGTAGATCGATTTTGCGAAACGTAATACTGCGGAACCGTTGCAATTTTTTAAATCAAAAAATAAATTGTTAATAAATGCTTGCCTTAGAAATACCTGAATTGCTTGAAGTTATCTTTGACTTTCTCGATAGGAAAGACCTGTATAGGAGTTGTACCAGAGTAAGCTACCAATGGAATGCTGTATCCATATATGTTATTCAGAAAAAAAGAAAAAGCGAATTTATTAATATTCCCAGCATTTGTGATAATATCCTTTTTCATCTATTTGATAATAATAATAAAAATGCTGAAATTAATAAATACTGCAGTGTAAGTAAATTATGGAATAAATCCCTTATATATCTACATGAAAGAGATGGTCATTTTAGTCATCTTGCACAATTTGAGTGGTTCCTAAAAGTTGGTCATGTTATTAGAGGATGCTTCTTTTAACGAATGAAATCTAATCTTAAAGGTTATATAGAGAAATATCTCCTCAAAATTTAAAACATGATTACGGACTTAATAGATATTATCAAGATTATACATAAAGTCAAAATGGATCATTTTGAATATCCGAAATGGTCGAAATAATCGAAATCATTTTGACCATTGAAGGCTAAAGTCGCGAAATAGTTGAAATAATGTCATATCACATGATTTTTCATATTAAGAAAAAACAATAAACAAAAAATGTATGATCTCAGTCAATATCACACCATTCAATTCCTTGGGATTCCTTATTTGATTCCTCGAACTCTTTCCTGAAATTTTCAGACCATTTTTTCAAAAAATATTAAAAACTTTTAAAAAATAATTTTTCCACTCTACAAACTAAATACAAACAATATTAAAACATTTTTTATAACTTTTATAACAATGACTTCTAATACTTTAGAATTTTATAGCAATGTTTTCGCGAAAGATACGAAAACTTTTTTACAACTTATTGCTAATGTTATCTTACACCTCGCTGAAAGAGACATGGCTATAGCAAAATTTTTAGGTTTTCAGACTCCTAAAATCTTTTTGCTTGTCAGAAAACTCAACTTCGAATATGATAAACTTTTTTCAGAAAAGATAGAACTCCCAAAAAATTTTATTGAACAAATAGCACGTACTAGTATGTTAATAATACACGAAACTAGAACAAACGACTTTGTTACGAATATCACTAAAGACATCATCAACAATACCATAAACAATATTTTGGAGAACGATGACATTATTTCCATTGCCAACACCTTCTCTCCTGAAATGAATATACTTGAAGAAGACAATATGAATTCCTCTTCTCAAATCATACACATAAGGCTCCCTCACCTTTCAACTATCTCAACAACCAATGCTATCAACTCTACAAATAATGATTTGATTATTTCTGATTCATTCACGCATCAATCACATAAACAGTTGCGTAAACAAAATAAAAGCTAGAGCTCCTAATGAGTCGAGTTGACTCACGAGTCAAATGAGTTGACTCGAGTTTGAGTCGAGTCGAGTCAAAAAT